TTCCATGGTTCCTGCCTTCTCCTAATTCTGTAGTGTCTAAATTTCATAATTTTACCTACATTTTAAGGGAAAAATAAATGAGCAATGTTGACAAAACTTCTTTCTTCATGCACCCAAATTGCAGACCTCCAACCATCAAATTAGTGATCCACAGTCCTCCAAACCACCCATCAGGGTGTCCCAAAAACCTCCAAAGCATCCAATTAGAGCACCTACACACCTCCAAATCACTAAATCAGAACACCCACACACCTCCAAACCACCCAATCAGAGCACCCACACACCTCCAAACCACCCAATCAGAGCACCCACACACCTCCACACCACCCAGTCGGAGCACTCACACACCTCCACACCACCCAGTTGGAGCACCCACACACCTCCAAATCACTAAATCAGAGCACCCACACACCTCCACACCACCCATTCGGAGCACCTACACACCTCCAAATCACCCAATCAGAGCACCCACACACCTCCACACCACCCAGTCGGAGCACCCATACACCTTCACACCACCCAGTTGGAGCACCTACACACCTCCAAATCACCCAATCAGAGCACCCACACATCTCCAAACCACCCAGTCAGAGCACCTACAGACCTCCAAACCACCTCCCAATTAGAACAGCCCACTGATCTCCAAACCACCCAATCAAAGTGACCCACAGACCTCAAAATCACCCATCAGACTGACTGTGGTTGGTTCTTCTATTCCTGTGTCTTCTTTCTTACTGGCATTTAAGATGACATTGGTCAGTGATCTATGATAGAACATGAAAGACCATGGCCAGAGGACAAATCTGGCCCATCATACTGTTTATAAAATATTATTGGAACATGGCCATGCTAACTGATTACCCATTATAGTTAAAACAAGAGAATGGAGCAGTTGTGACAGAAACCATGTGCTTTGAGTTAAAAATCAGTATATCTGGACTTTGACTCTTTGGCCATCGATCTGGGTGTTGTTTGCCTTTCTCCCACTCCCTGGAGATGAAGACATGCCTTGTTCACTACCCTGTTCATAACACCCATGCCAGGCACATAGTCAGTGCACAATATCTGCAGGTTATGAACAGTTCGCAGACTTTCTAAGAGGAAAATGTATCAACTTCTATGTGAAGCTCTCAATTCAGCCACACATCTGGAATCACTGCTTCTGGGTATGTGTATAATGAACTCATGTTGAGAAATTTGTAAATGGCTGGAGAATACTCCAGAGAGGATTTTTGGCACAAGGCAAAGTTTTAATATAAATGCCATGGGCTTACTGTGGAGCTTAGAGGGGGCAGAGCAGCACATTTTTTATAGCCATGTTATGCTAAGCGAAACACATGCTAAATCACCAGGCAAATTGGGACTGCATGGTCTGGGCAACATCTGGAGAAAAAGAACTTGGAGTAAGAAACTCCTGAACACTCGTTGATAGGAACGTCACTTTATGATGATTTCTGTTAATTTATTTGACTCTTGTCAACTGATGTTACCCAGAGATTAAAAAAAAAAAAAGTTCTGGTTCTATAAAGAATAAAAATGCTATTTTCGACCATTCTTGTTTTTAGTTTCTGTGAGTAGTCAGCAACTCTATTTTGTGTAAAATTTTCACCAAAGCATCTCCTTACTGGAAATCACAACCTACTGGAAACAGCCAGTTACAACCTGCCAAGCAGATGGGTGCAGGAGCAACCAGTGCCAATATGTTGTGTCTCAGGTGTTGGTGAGGTGCAGAGATGGCCCCAATGGGTTCCACATTGAGGAGCCCCCATGTTTAGGGGGAAAGCTGAACCTATGGGATTGTGACACCAATTTTAGTGTGTGTGTGTGTGTGTGTGTGTGTGTGTGTGTGTATGTTCAGGCATGTGGATGGAGGTCAGAGGACAAGCTGGTTCTTTCCGTCCACCTATGGGTCCTGGAGATCAAACTCAGCTCGTCAGCTGAAACTCAGGTCATCAGTCTTGGCAGCAAGCACCTTTACCCACTCAGTCATCCTGCTGCCCCTAGAGAGGGAACTTTTATCGGCAGGAGATCCTGGGTAAGAGGCCACAGTCCTGATACACACATTACCCAGCCCAATATGGCTGGCTAGCATTTCTCCAGCCTCCACACTTCTGGTTCATTCTCTACAATGCGACCAGACTTATGGACAATCTCACCTGTTCATATTTTTCTGATTCTATAAAGTTCTCTAAACTCTCCATATGCTTCAAAAGAAAGTCAATGTTCTTATGGCAAAGGAAGGCGTTTGTGAGTTCCCATGTGTGTCTGCCGGGCTCTTATCTCCCTTCCACACTGGTCTCTCATCACCCCTCCTCCCCTGTGCTCTGGGCTCAAGGCTGCTCTTCAACAGGCTTGATAAGGTCTGATTGTATCTTCGTATCCCTTATTCCATCTTTTCTGTCCTGATGGGTCTTTCTACAGGACCTTTCCAGCCCTGATGGGAACTGTCTTTTCTAGGTTTTGACTGCCATCTGCTTTTCCCTTGAGCATATTTTTAGGCTTTATCTTTTCCTAATGGCCCTTCCAGACTCCTCATAAAAACTCTTCTGGGACACCCACCAGGAATCTAACCTCAAGAAATGCATCACATAAAAGACTAATGAAGACACATCTCAAGTTTAACCCTCAGATGTTATGTTGATGTCTCTCCCAAGGAAACCCTGGTTCCTGAAGTCAATGCACCAAATACCACTGTAAGCACTCTCTCAAGAACTTCAACTGGGGGCCACTTGGTTAAATACTAAAATGTTCTGCTTTCAAATCATTTGATTAAAGTACTTCTTATTTTGATTTAAAACACACCTTGTAATGAAATCAAAATACATCTTGTTATGAAAGCCATTCATTTAAAGAAAGTCAGAACAATATAAAGATAAGCCACATGGCGTGGCTCTCTGTGTAGTAGGCGGAAAGCACAAGAGACTCTGAAGGACCATGTGAAGCATAGAAAATGGACCACTGATATGCTAACTGAGAATGTCCAGGCAGCAAGAATTCCGAGACGGGGCCATGCCCTGCTGGGTCAGCTCAAGGGAGGGTTGCTGCTCCAGCCCTGTACAGACACGGCAAGTTCATGGTGGCCCAGACAGGAGGAGTGGATGCTGAGGGGGCACGGGATCTAAGCGGCAAATGAGTGGAGTGAGTTCAGTCTGTGGAAAGTGGTTTACCATGAAGCATAGAAAACAGGCAAGTAGGCAGAGATGTAAGGAGACCTAGAAATGAAGAGACCCTGATGAGCCTTCCACGGAAGCTGGAAAAGTTCAATGGTCAAGCCAACTCCAGGCCACAGTGCAGATGCCCACAAAGGACAAGCTGCAGTCCACAGCTTCCAGGACAGGAGGAAGAAGAGTCAGGTGGCTGATCCTGTGCAGAGATTGGAAAATTAATTTCATCCTTGGGCTCTACAGTGTGCACATCTTCATAACCATGTTTATTGCCCACTGTGTAGGAAGCTCATGGCATTCTCTTAGCTTCAGGTTCAATCCAGAGAGAGCTGACCCAGAAAGGAGTGTTGTAGGCCTAGAAGAGGGCCAACTCTTGAGTCTCACCCCCACACACGTTTTGAGCATAGCATGGTCTCTGGAGAAGAACAGGAAACAGCCTTGCCTCTGATCTTAGTAACTTCCATAAAACACTACTGGGATCATCATTCGGTGTCTGTGCTTAGACAAAACAGTGCGCAAGGCATCCAGGTCAGGGTGGAGCCCTTCTGTCGTCATCTCTGGGGGAAACGATGGCAGAGAAGCAAGAACAAACAGATCCTGCACATTGCTTAAGCCCCAAAGGGATCCAGCTGCTGCCAAAGAACCAAAATGCCACCTCCACTACAAACTTCCCATACACAATCCTGCTTTCTTAGAATCCATTCATTCAAAGGCTATCTCTAAAAAGGGAAAAGTCCTAAGTTTTCATATTACATTCTTATCTCTCTAGTTCAATATGCACATTGTTTAAAAAGATATACACACACACACAAACACACACACACATATGCCCTCATACATGTACTACTCATGCACACAGCCATGTGCACATGGATATGGACAGCTAGGCACACACACATGCATGCACACACATGTACACATATGCACATGTGCACACACATCCAATAGCACATATGCATGCACACACATACATACATAAGCATGTGTACATGCACACATACATACGGTAAGCAAACAGAGGAATGTGTGATGTATGGAAGAGGCATTTAACTGTTCTCTCTAGAAATTAGTTTTCTCACAAATTAGTTCTGAGATACACCAACTGCCTCATGAAAAGAAAAATTACAAGAGTTTCTTTAAGAAATATTATGTATTTCTGTGAATGAGACAGAGCTCTTTGAAGTTTACTGTTCTTTTTAGATCATATTCTTGTCTAGAAAAAATATAGAAAATGAGTTCACTGGCAAACTCAGGACTTCAACCTAGAACCTGTTCCTTCTGAACCCCAGAAGCAACATGACAGTCAGGCCAGGGCATGTGTGCGCTGGGAGAGCATGGTGGCAAGTGTGACGGCTGCATCCGAACTCGGAATGGTGCTGGACAGAAATGTGACAAAGCCGCACCACGTACGTTAGGGTATAGAAGTGAATTTGTGTACACGCGTGGAGTAGAAACATTCCAATTAAATGGTGTCTGTTGCAAAAGTCTGTTATTTAAATGTCAGCAAAAAGTAAAACGATACAGTGTACAGAAGCAAGCCCCAGGCTTACACTTCCAGATGACTTGAGTAATAAGGTCTCTAACTAAGAGCATCTGAGTGAGGAAGTCTTGCTGAGAAGACAAAATGTGGCCATGCTATTACCTTCCACCTACCTACAGTAAATTTCTAAAAATTTACCAATATGGAAAATCAAGGAAAAACAATGTTTTCTATTTGACTGAAAAAAATGTATGACTGTCAACCCTGCATGCCCAGCTGCCCTTGTCTGATTGGAGGTCAAGGCTCTACAGTGAACGCAAAGGGGAGAGGTGCGGTCTAACCATCTAGGAGATTACCTTCAGGGTCTGCTTCGCTTTGGCTGTGGAGACATAGGCACAACTATGCAGACCCTACTGAAACAAGAAGATACAGGTTCATCACACACTCCCCATCCCCACTGCAGACGGTGAACCAACAGCACCTAAAAATGCAAACCGGTCCTTTGGGACAAGATTAAAGAAAGCTCTTGGTTAGGTTCAGTAAGAATGACTATCATCTCCTTAAAGCCTGCAGTGGAAGATGTTTTACAGCACTGGGGGTCACAGTGGCTGAGGAAAGAGAGGCACTCCTTCTCCGGGGAGCACACACTACGTTGAATCTCGGTGTTTCAAGTGCAATGTCAGGACAGCCCCTTTTCTGGAGTCCCATGGTCTCCTGTTCCAAAACAAAGGAAGCAAGTGAGGATAGAATTTCCCTGGGGGCTAGACACCAGGTGTAGGTCTCAGTTCCACACACACCACCACAGCCCAGAGGATGCCTATAAGAAGTCTAGGAAAGACGTTAGGCAAAGGATCATGCCACCATGGTCGGATTTCCTGCCCCACCATGTCAGACTCCTGCTCTTTGAAAGGCCCCACACCACAAAGCTGGGTGCCATGTAAGTGTTATCTCACTTCTTGCCCTTCTGTCGTGACGCAAATGTATTTTGGGACAGTCCAAGGTCATAAGGGCTATGAGGAGACATCTGTTCTATCTGAAGAGCAATTTGGTGACGAGTTCAATGGGAGTGGGAGTTGCAGTTAGCAGCCCAGGCTTTCTGCATAAGCACAGTGTGGGAGGAAAGCTGAGTCACCTCTGGGAAATGAGACTTTCCATTCCTATGACTGGATATGAACGGGCTGCAGTTCTATTGGTCGGCTAGCTGTCAAGGTCACCTTCCACTTTACTCTCTGAGCATTTCATCTTTAGTCTTCCCTCAGTGGAAACAGGCATCTGTATTACTCAGCAGATCCACCAGAGTTCGGCACCAGCCTCTGAAGAGCCTATTCATATCTTTGGTGCCAAGATAACCTTGAGATTCCGGCTCCTCTGGAATGCTAAATGAATAATAATTCTGTTGTTGTTACAACATGTTGAGAAAATGCATACAAGAAGAACGTGATCCCTGCGTGTGGAAGGAGATCCTCCTTGCTGAAGACCCTGAGTCACGTGTCACGTTAGCTGTGAACATTTGTGAGTGGAGCTTTAGGACATGTGCCTGGTTGTCTGCAAAGCCTCCCTCTGTGAAGCTAAAGTCTGGCTTACACTGAGTCCTTCAGCACATGGGCAGTGGTGCTTATCCTGAGTCCTCTCAGGTAGTGAGGCAATGTGTCACCAACAAAGCCGCATGCCCAAAGAGAGCCTACATTTCCCATAATAATCCAGAACTTTAAAGCACCATGAGTAGCCAAAACAACTCCTGGGCTGGTAACAGCCCTGGATGATACATATGTAGATGGAGATAAGTTGGCATAGTGTTGTATACAGTATTACTGCTGTGGTCTGGAGCTTTGGAGACTTTCTGCCCACTGCAAAGGTTTTGAGACAAATAAGAAACCTGGTCTGCCCTTTATCTGCTTTTCAGTGAAGCCTGAAAAAGAGTCTATTGTCTCTGCCCTCCATGGTCTGTGAGAATAGATTTTAGGGAAAATGTGGTGAATGCCAACACACAAAATAAAAGACAGAAATTTTAACCAAGATGGCTGGTGGGAAAGAAACAGAAACATTGGATGGGTTGGCTTAAAAAAAAAATCTAAAGAACCCTTTAAATGGATGCATCTCAAATGCAATTTCACACTGAATTCATGGTTCTCTTAATGTTGTTTATATCATAAACTATCCTGTAGGAACTCTGGGCTAGAAAAAGGCATTTCTGTGGCATTGGCAAGGGGCGTAGCCAGTGTGCAGCTGCGGGATCACAAGCCTCTGGGAGAAGCTAACTTGGGGCAGCTGGCACCACCAAGGGAGCTGCACTCAGCAGAGGATTCTTTACTACAGTGGTTACCCTGTAGTGCTTTCTCGGGGAAAATGGGAAATACTATTCGTAAACTTTTTGTTCAATGTTATAATTTCAGAAAATTTAAGCGACTGTTGATTTCTCGTATGGACAACTGATAGTGAATATAATTGTCACCTTGACTGGTTTTAGAGTCACCCAGGAGATGCACCTCTAGGCACATCTGTGAGGGCACATCTGGAGGTTTAACTGGGAAGGGAAGGCCCACCCTGATGTGTGCAGCGCTGTCGCGCTGTCTGGGGAATCAGACTGAGGGCTGAGTATAAGGGAGAGCAGAGACATGGCTCTGACCCCCAGCACGGATGCCTGTGCATCCTGTCTGCAGACACAGTGTAACTGCTGCTCCCTCTCCTCCACGCCTTCCCCCACAGGGAGGACTGTCCTCCTAAACTGTGCCAGAAGAAACCCTTCCTCACCACAGTAACAACAAAAGGAACACACAGATATCCAACTCAAAATTTTATACCCGTCCTTCCCACAGTCTACAGCAGTGGTTCTCAACCTATGAGTGTTGATCCCTTTGGAGGTCACCAACCCTTCCACAGGGGTTGCATTTCAGATAGTCTACATATCAGATATTTATGTTACAATTCATAACAGTAGCAAAATTACAGTTATGAAGTAGCAGCGAAAATAATTGTATGGTTGGGGGTCACCACAATGTGAGGACCTATATCAAAGGGTCACAGCATTAGGAAGGCTGAGAACCACTGAAGAGTTCCTCAAATTCTTGCCTCTAAGACAGTGGTAGGAGACTACTTTGTAATAAGATATGCAATGAAATTTTAAATGATTACTACCATGTATTGGTTGCTGGCAAAGTTAAAAATATCAATTAGTATGAATGATATTGATATAAAAATATCAATTAGCTAAGAATATTGGAACGGGCCCCTCTAGCGAGCTGCACTGCAGGGCTTTGTGACTTAAGGTGAAAGGCACCATCTGCATTCAGTACAAGATAGCCAGGTTTTATTCTTTTTTTTTTTTTTCTTTTTTTTTTTTT